CTATTATTGGGAGGGACAAGGAAGGGGGAAGAACAAGGGAGGGGAGGGAGGAAGGGGGGAAGGACAAGAAAGAGGGAAGGAAGGAAGGGGGAGGGACAAGGAAGGGGGAGGGAGGAAAGGGGGGAGGGAGGAAAGGGGGGAGGGAGGAAAGGGGGGAAGGAATGGTGGAGCAAGGGGGAGGGACAAGGAAAGGGGGAAGGAGGCAGGGAGGGAGGGAATGGTGGAGGGGAGAGGGAGTGTGGCTGGGACCTCGGCCATCGTCGTCCCGCGTTGGCATCCCATCGTTGTGTCGCATTTCGTTGTCGCCTCCTCGTCGCGTGTTCGCGTTTTCGTCGTGCGTGGGTGGCGTTGGTGTGGACGTGGTGGTTTTGGTAGGCGGCGTGGTGCCGTCGTATGTCGTGTGGGCGGTGCGTGTTTTTCGGTGGGCGGCGCGTGTTTTTCGGTGGGCGGCGCATGTTTTTCGGTGGGCGCTCGTGTTTTTCGGTGGGTGGTGGGATGTTTTCGTGGGCGGGGTATGGTTTTCGTGGGCGCTGGCGGTGTACATGGGCGGTGGGCGTCGTTTTGTGCCCGTCGGGTGTCGTTTTGTGTCCGGGGGCGTTGTTTTCGTGGGCGTTGGGTGTTTTCGTGGGTTACGGCGCTCGTTGTTTCGTGACGTGGCGTCGCCGCGTTGTTGTTGAAGGGTGTCGTGGTCGATGTTGGTGGTCGTGGTGGCCATGGGTGATCGAGGAGCGACGTTGGCGGTGGTGGCTATGGGTGACGGTGATGGCGTGGCGTTGGCGGCGGTGACGAGCATGGTGGTGGTGGTGGAAGAAGAGAGTGGCCATGTTTGGTGAGCATGTTCACCAAACAAACATTGTTTGTGATCCATTGAAAATAAATAAACTATAATACAGTAATAAATAAATAAAATAAACAGATTGGACTGGAATCCCATTCCTGCCCACTCCGGGGAACACCATTCCTGCCCATTCCGGGGAAGACCATTCCGGGGAACATTCCGGTGTACATTCCGGAATCCACCGGAATTCCACCGGAATGGAAAACACCGGAATAAACAATTTAGCAGGGCCTTCTGCTAAATTCCATTCCACCGGAATCCACCGGAATTCCACCGGAATGACCGGATTCCTGCAGGAATAGGGGGGGCACTGCTAAGACCTCCATGTGTAGCGCAAGGTTATGCATTACTAGTATGTGAGTCTTGACATGTAAGTTCGACGTCTGTGGGTTCGACGTTTGTGGGTTCGAATTCCAGTCTCATCGATATCTCATTGTATACACTTTCATCGTGCATTGCAGAGTGTATTTTGATGCCTTGTTACAATTGTTACAATAAGACACCTGCCTATGCCTTGTTGTCTGCGGAACGGCTCGTGCATATATTCAGGATTTTCACTATTATCCCCTCATCACCCTCCTCTCACGCATTTTGGATTCCGTACCCACCCCACCTCCCGCTCGCTATCAATGAACACATCTCCTTCCAAAAGAAAACGGGACAACCACAAAACTGGGCACAACCGATCAGGCGACTACTGATTCCTGAATTGTGAAAGGTTGCCTGCGGCCACTGTGAAGAGGCAATGCTGGTAGTATCCCCTTCGTGTATTGTGGAACCGGAACCTAAGTGATGAAGAAGGCCGGTCAGTCTGCGAGAAAATCAAATAGATGCAAGGTGACAATGAATATAGAAGCCGGGGAAGGGAGAAGGGCATATTGAATGTCCTTATAAGTAAAGCAAGGCCGATGACTTACCAAATGATAAGTGACCGTTATCCCCACTCTCCAAGCTCTCCGAACATGCGTGTATGTCAGGCGGACAGCGGTGATCTAAAATTCTCTTTGTCGCGGCTGCTAGGGAAGAGGCGATGCTGGATCCACGAGCTCTGTACAGAGGCAGCTGAGCTGGGTGGGTTCCTCCATGGCAAACTCAATATCCCCTTCGCGGGCTGATGCACGATGGGGTGCAAGTAGGCCGAGTTCAAGCACAGTCTACTCATTCAGAAATGAGGTCCACAGTTGATGATGGATGCAAAAGTGGGTAGTGCTTTGAATGGAATGGATGGGGCAGGCAGTCACAATTGAATGGGGGTGGATCACAGGGTATCTCTTCTGGTGAAAGAAACAGGTGGAGGTGTGTTTAGCGTCGGGGTCATTCAACAAATGCAAAAGCTCCCAAGTGAAAGATTATAAAGTACGATCCTGGGTACATACTTCCAGGTCAGAGGCCGGGGTGGTTTCTCAAAGCAGAAGCGATGAAGCCCGTATAAAAGTCCTCGTGCATTTGACTCCCCTCTCTGTGTGCAGTGTGTATCAGTGAGTGCACAGCCATTGGGTGTTGTTTCCGTCTCTGGCAACAGCGGGAGATCGGATAGGGAAGTCTAGGCGATGTCGCAGTGGCTGAGCGACCCGGAGGGAAAACATTGGGCGACTTGTGACTCCGAGTCGAGGCCAGACCTTCGTCGTTCAGCGTCGACTTCGTGGATTGCAAACTTTGGATTGACGACAAACCTTTGGCAGAGCGGAGTTAAATCATGATGTTCGCACAGCCATCAAACAAATACGCCTTCCTTCCAACCTCCATCCTGTCGTCTATAATGTGTATCCCAACCAATCACCCTTTCCTCAAACCGTTTTCTAATCTGAAGAAGGCTATCACAAGATCACGCTTACTCATCCCTCATTCCACGGACACCACTAGCAATGATTTAGCTTGCCCCAGCTCTGACCCACCTATCTTGATACATCAGGAAAATCACAAATCTGTGGCAGGTCGTGATCACGTGGCGGAGTGTGGCCGGAGTGATGGATCTGGCACCACGCGGTCCACACCGCCATGATTTTGATCTCCGGATAAATTGAGCCACGCGCGTCACAATAATCGTTCACGCGACAGATTTGTTGTCGCATGTGTAACTGTAAGTATCAATCATGCGACATGTTGGACGTCCGAACTTGGAAATTTTTGTACTTGTGCAATGTGAACTTTTCCTCCACTCTCCGACTCTTCCCGCCAATCTCCTTCCTTCTCCTCAAGGGCTTCCAGTCCCCCTCCGCTGCGTCGCCGCCACCATCAACCACTTCGTTCGGTAACCCGCTCTCAACCACCACTGCACACCAATGACAACAACAACAACCTACCCAACGACAACAACAACGACCTGGCACATCAACGGACGTGCCACGTCCACCAGACGGTGATGACACATGTCGTTGTCACTGTCCGTGTTATCAAGGTCAGCTACTCAAACCCCGTCCCTTTCTCCTCTTTCAATACAAGACTCAGGGGGCGACGTTGCTGTCGGTGACGTGGCAACCAAGAACGGACCAATGTTATAACAAACGACGGGCAACCAGGTGAGCCATCTGACTTCCCTCCCCTCTCCTTTTTTGACAAGAGAACCAGGTCATCGCCAGATTCTTCGTGACAACATTCAAGGTGCTTTCTCTCTACAACGCTATGCACAGTCATACTCACACTTGTCTAGGTATGCCACGTCGCTGACGGCGATGTAGCCAACAACAACCATCATACGACCGCCCCCAATCAATCCCCCACAACAACGACGTGGCAATGCCATGCCACACCACCTCCAACGATGCCCTCAACTACAGCCAACGCCAACGGCAAAGCAGGATCGCCCACAAACTGAGGCCACCACCTGAGGCGAAGCAGCATCAGCCAAATTCGACCACGACCATCCACGCGAAGGATGAACAACACCCACGAACGGAAGCGGACTGCGACGAGCCAAGGTGAGGCACCCCACTCATCGTTCTAACACAGATCCCAGGTGTCATGTCGCTGTCAGCGACGTGGTAGCCGAACGACGAATGTCGTTCACTGTTGTGTATTTAAAACACGATGGTAAGTATCTGCCGTTCCACATTTGTCCCAACCCACACTTATGATGTTTTGCATTTGCTATCCAATTGACTTGGAATGTACGCGAAGACGTCAGCGTCGGTGCACATAGTACGATGGCTGACGTGACTTGGACGTGACGAGATAATCTGGTAAGTCGTTGACAATGGATTGAGCCGTTTCGTGATTGCTTACCGTGATTGGGCACCAGCAGCTTGGACGTCGACAACATCAGACATCTCGGGAAAAGTTGGTTGTTGGGAACACGGGTGGGTGGATGGTCGAAGGTTGCTGAATTGCTTTCTACATCAGTACTCAGTATTTACATGGTGTTTCTGTACGTTGTATAGTAATACAAAAAAATAATTTTTCCTGTGGCATTGATTGGGCAGTGTGGTGCAATAAATAGTTCAGAAGCTAGGTTTGTGGCCCCATAATAAAATTGTGATGAGATTGTGGTGCCACGAACGATTGTGGTGGGTCAGTCGCCACCATAAGTATAATGTCCCCATCCTTGTTTGTGAGAGTGTGGCTGAGCGTGGTTTGAATGAGAAGCGTGGTGCCACACGTGATGTGATTTTCCTGATGACTAGCTCCATCTGCAACCATCCCTGTAGTGGATACAGTCATGCCAATTCCAGGTACGATAACTTGTGACCCTTCTTTCCCATGGTGAAAATTAATCACTCATCAAATCAAACTTGCAGGAGTGGTTGAGTCATTGCAACCAGTTTTACCTGTCTCCACTGGTCTGAATTAACCCCAAATCTCTATCATTTCATTGGTAACACTAATAACACTAATATAGATCTCCTGAGTTCTGATCAGCCTAACTCTCCACCAATCACACCTGCTGTAAATGCAGGCATGGTGTCAGTGGATACTGAAATGACTGTTGCCAGTGAGAGACCCCTCAATCTGTTTGCTGTAAAGTTGATATTTAACCATTCTAATCTCTCAGTTGACCAGGTTGAAGGCTCTGTGCAAGGAGCTGTTGATTTTTTGCAACACCCTTCTCCTATCTTGACTGGTTCATGCTTGCTCCAAATCTCTATATATTCTATTTCTGATATTTTTGTATAGATCCTTCAGTTTCTGACTTGCCTACCTCTCTAACCATGCCTTCTGTGCTGAATACTGAAGTGGTGCCTGCCAGTTAGTACTCTTATAAATATAATCCAGGCTTGCTCAAATCTGACTATGCAGAGTTCTCAACAAACCTTCAAGCTGTCACTATAAACTACATCTCAGCTCAAAATGTGAACACAGCCCCTAACTATGGTTCAGTGCCTTTGGATCATTACATTTTATTGCTTTCACTTACATTGTGACAGGTACCATAAATCAAGGTAAATAATAAGAAACACATCATATTCATCTTAATGGTATTTGGGGTTGGCAGGTGTTGACCCAAACATTCAAATCACACTTGAAATGATTAGAGATGAACAACGAGGTATTATTGCAGGTTTTTACTTTGTATGTATAATTGACAACATTTATTGTTACAGTGAAGGAGATTTATGAATGGCTTGCTCCACCTAAGGAGTCTGTCAACTACAATGCTGCATATGAAATTCTAAGAAGTCAACCAGACCCCTGTTTATGGTTTCTCAATGGAAATGCATTTGCTGGGTGGCTGGAACAGCCTGGTTTTCTCTGGATCAAAGGAAAATGTAAGTTATCTGTCAAAATTTGTGAACTTATATCTTAATGACAATCCAGCTGGCTCTGGGAAAACTATTTTGAGGTTGGGAGTTTAGCACTTTTTTTGGAACTGAATTGAATTTTCTCTTCACAGCTCAGCAATAATTCACAACCTTCTCCAAAGATTCAATTCTGCTACTGCATATTTCTTTTTTGATGGAAGAGACTCACAGAAAGATTTCCAGCTGCATGATAAACTGATATGATCACTCATTTGGCAATTCTGTCTCAAATGTGAGGGTAAACTGCCTAAAGTCTTAATGGATCTGTATGCTTGCTGTGGCAAAGGGCATATGGAGCCAACTCTGGATGATCTGCAAAACACTCTTCAAAGACTTCTTTATGGATTTAGCTCAACATTCATTATTCTGGATGCTCTTGATGAATGTGCTGAGAGAGAAAAGCTTCTTAACTGGATTCAGACTTTTACTCTGGAAAAAGATGTGAATGCAGGGCTTCACTTGATAGTTACTAGCCGCCCAGAACAGGACATCAAGAACAAGTTCAAGTCTCATCACTATATTGACTTGGTCAAGGAATCTGGGAATCATGATCTTATAGCCTATCTTGACTATCAGCTTCAGAATAACTCTGACTTGCAAAAGTGGAATTCTGAGATTCAAGAGCATATAAAGTCGACATTGATGAAACAAGCAGATGGAATGTATGTATCAACATTTGAATGACAGGGTAGTTATTGAATGCAATTTTAGGTTCCGTTGGGTTGTATTACAGCTAAATGAGCTCAAAGAATGCCGAACCAAGAGTGATCTGAGAAACCAGCTAGCTGATCTACCACAGGGTTTGGATAAAACATATGATCAAATCTTGCTGGCTGTCAAGAAAAAAGATCATAATTATGCCAAAACATTCTTACAGTGGTTGTGTTTTGCTGTCCACCCACTCACACTGAGTGAACTGGCAGCAACTGCCACTGTTGATCTTTCTGCTGAGAATGGTCCAGAGTACAAATCTGATAATGAACTTCAAGATATTGAGGATGTCTTGAAAATATGTTCTAGTCTCATCACAAAATCAGAGGGTATGGTTTACATAAATGCTGGATTAAAACAAGTACTAACTATTCAATAGGTTTTGTCAAGCTTTCTCACTTTTCTGTCAAAGAATACCTCATATCTCACTATATTCAAAATCATGCTGTCAAGCAGATCAGAGACCTCAGCTTCAATGAGGAGCTATCACACACTCTCATATCTCAAATCTGTCTGGCCTATCTTTTGCAATTCAATACATCTGAGCCACTTGACACAACTGTGAATGTGTCATCCCCACTTGCAATGTATGCTGCAGAAAACTGGATTATACATGCACATTCTGGTGGCAAAGATAAATCTCAGTCATCTTCAGCACTTTCATTGATGATGAAGCTTCTGACAGATGAAAATACTGCTTTTCTGAACTGGGTTCGACTTTGCAATATAGATAGCTATTACTCTATGGATCTACAAAAACAGAAGATTGACATTGCTAATCCACTCTATTATGCATCACTGGCTGGACTGACTGAAGCATCATATGCTTTGCTAGAAATGTCAGCTGATATAAATGCACAGGGAGGCAAATGTGGAAATGCACTCCAGGCAGCATCACATGGAGGCCATGAGGCCATTGCAAAACTTCTGATAGAGAAGGGGGCAGACATAAATTTGCAGGGAGGACTCTATGGAAATGCACTCCAGGCAGCAGTGTATGGAGGCCATGTGGGAATTACAGAGCTGTTGATAGAGAAGGGGGCAGATGTAAATGCACAGGGAGGATACTATGGAAATGCACTTCAGGAAGCATCATATAGAGGCCATGAGGCACTCACAAAGCTGTTGATAAAGAAGGGGGCAAATGTAAATGCACAGGGGGGAGACTGTGAAAATGCACTCCAGGCAGCATCATATGGAGGCTATGAGGGAATTGCAAAGCTGCTCATAGACAAGGGGGCAGATATAAATGTACAGGGAGGATACATGGAAGCCCACTCCAGGCAGCATCAAATGAAGGGCATGAGGCCATTGCAAAGTTGTTAATGGAAAAAGGGGCAGATGTAAATGCACAGGGTGGCAAATATGGAAATGCACTCCAGGCAGCATCATATGGAGGCCATGGAGAAATAGCAAAGCTGCTAGTAGAGAATGGGGCAGAAGTCAATGCACAGGGAGAATACTATGGAAATGCACTTCTTGCAGCATCATATGGAGGCCATGAGAAATTGTGAAACTCTTGATAGATAAGGGGGCAAATGTAAATGCACAAGGAGGGTACTGTGGAAATGTATTTCAGGCAGCATTACCTGCAGATCATGAGGCAATTTCAAAGCTGCTGATAGATAATGAGGGCAGATGTAAATGCACAGGGGGGAGACTGTGAAAATGCACTCCAGGCAGCATCATATGGAGGCTATGAGGCAATTGCAAAGCTGCTGATAGAGAAGGGGGCAGATATAAATGTACAGGGAGGATACATGGAAGCCCACTCCAGGCAGCATCAAATGAAGGGCATGAGGCCATTGCAAAGTTGTTAATGGAAAAAGGGGCAGATGTAAATGCACAGGGTGGCAAATATGGAAATGCACTCCAGGCAGCATCAAATGAAGGCCATGGAGAAATAGCAAAGCTGCTGAGTAGAGAATGGGGCAAGTGTCAATGCACAGGGAGAATACTATGGAAATGCACTTCTTGCAGCATCATGTGGAGGCCATGAGGCAATTGTGAAGCTCCTGATAGAGAAGGGGGCAAATGTAAATGCACAAGAAGGAGACTGTGGAGATGTATTTCAGGCAGCATTACCTCCAGGCAATGAGGGAATTTCAAAGATGCTGATGGACAAGAGGGCAGATATAAATACCCAGGGAGGATACTATGGAGGTGCACTCCAAGCAGCATCATGTGGAGGCCATGAGGAAATTGTGAAGTTGCTAATAGAAAAAGGTGCAGATGTCAATGCACAGGGAGGGTACTTTGGAAATGTACTTCAGGCAGCATCATACAGAGGCAATGAGGCAATAGTAAAGTTGCTGATAGAGAAGGGGGCTGATGTAAATGTACAGGGAGGAAGATATGGAAATGCACTCAAGGCAGCATCATGTAGAGGCCGTAAGGCAGTTGCAAAGCTGCTGATGGAGAAGGGGGCAGTGGTGAATGCTCATAGTGGAGGGCAGGGAAACACTTCAAGTAAGATTATAGACAGCCCATGAAGTGAGTGCCAAGCTTTTAATAGAGAAAAGAGCAGATATAAATGCATAGGAAGGGCTTATATGAAAGTGCACTTTATGCAGCATGATATAAAGGTGGTGGTCAATTGGAAATAAGGGGAAAACATTCATATAAAATCAATGTTACATGTACCAAGAGCATCAGATAATATTTTGTTACAAATTATCCACTTTGTGACCTCACATGATAGTGCTATGATGAATACAAGCAATTATTCATTCTGACTGCTAAGAATCCCTCCTATTGCCTTGACATTGTCTCCCCTTAGTAACTCCACCTCCTTCTCTAATTCTCTTCATCTGTCATCTGCATCTCTGTTGTACTCCAATGATGAATATAACTAGTGTGACCAATGTGACTAACATGACTATATGACTTGGAGCTGAAGTAGATACTGATTTGAATGCTGAGCAAAAGAAAGTGTTTGACTCACTCAATGAGGTGAACA